TAGAGAGAGAGAATTTTTTAATATTTATTTTTCAGTTTTGGGTGGATACAACATCTTTATTTTATTTTTATGTGGTGCTGAGGATTGAACCCAGTGCCCCGCGCATGCCAGGAGAGCGCATTACCGCTTGAGCCACATCCCCAGCCCAAAGGTGCAGTTTTATATTACTTCAGATGATCCTAGTTCCAAAGTACCTCACTTTGAGCAAGACTGGCAATATTTATGAACTTTCTGAAAATAAATGTTGAACCAATTTTACACACAAGACCAATCCCAAGGGAATTTGGGTAGTAAAATCTTTAAAGTTCTTCTTCCTTCTTCTTCTATTGTTATAGTTTTCTGAGAATAAATTAAAAAGGGCACTGAAAATTTTGAAAATTATTTTTAATGAATTTATGTACAGTGACTATATGAATAGTTTAGCTTAAGTACTAATTTTTAATATTTGTTTTCAAATAATCAAAGAATTAAAAACAAAATTGTTTAAATCAAGACTTTCCCAACTTTCCCAACTGATAACCATAAAGGTGACATTTTTTCTTGTAAAAATATAATGGTTCAACAACAGAAATATATTAGCAAGTAAACACAATGAAAACATGCTAATTATAACATGTTAATTATTTCACCCAGAAAGCCCAACATTTCTGACACTGTAAAAATCTCTCTTCTGTGTTGYCAATATCCCTTCACAATGATTCTTACTAGTTTCAAGCCAAACTTTGCAGATCCAAGTTATTTTCTATATGAAAAAATAGGGTAACTATGATTATGTTCTCTGGAGGCAGAGTTTTTACTTCCTCATTACTTATTTACTTAACATAAACACTTGTCTAGGCCCCTAAAGTCATGTTTCTAGTAAATGAAGAAAAGACTCCACCCCTGAAACCTTATCACTGCCTTTGATGTACCACCTTAAATAAACCACAGGAGACTTTTTCTAATTGTCTAGCTCCAGGTCCTGTGTGTACTTAATCTACAGGGCTCCACCTTTTTGAAACTGTCTTTCCAACTTTGTCTTTTTGTTTTGACTAATTATTCTASACTAATTTCTTAGGTAGCTTACACCCTCCTTAGCAGGAAGAAGAACCCCCTTGAGCTTAAGTTGGCACTGGCCGCCTCCCCATGTTATGCCTAACTATTCCCCTCTGAAGATTCTGCCTGCATCAATACAATCAGACAAGATCATGTTAAACAAACACCATCCTATAATCTAAACTACTAGAAACTTTACCTTGTGTGGTCTTAATAGGTGCTAGTCAAAGTGTGGTATATGAACCAGGTCTCATTTCCCATGAGATAAGAATACAAACTAAAAATTTCAGAAAATTTTGAGCAACTCAACAAAATAATTTTATGTCTAATGAATCTACTAATAAAAAATAGGAACTGTGTTTTGAATGGCTTTTTAAAATCTACTTTTCCTAGTAATTCAATTTTATTATATTTAATAAAAGCATTCATTCCCAAAGGATTTGAAGACAAAAAACACAATTGGCCTTTTAGCATAGATTATTTAAAGACGAGCCCATATGATGGTGAGCCTCCACCAYCATATAAAGACCAAGTATATTCAAGTCTCTTGCATTCACACTCTGCTCCAACAGTACCACAAAACAGAAGCTGAACAAAGATCTTWAAAATGAATTAAATAACTAATAACACTTGAAAAGAAACACAGTTAAGAATTTTATCATCCACTGAAAAATAATGCTACTAATCACTACGTTATATATAAGGTATATATATATATACTGATTTATATATGTATATACGTACACAGAAAGATATAGATTTTATATAAAGATATAGATATTACTGGCTATTAAAGGAAAATGTTTGATTTTTCCCTCTCCTCTTTCATTGTTATGAGGTAAATAAAAATATTTTGAAGAGTGGGTCTCAGGAATACTTTTTAAAAATTGCTTACAGTTCTTATCAATCAATAGTCTAACAAACAAAGTGGGTTTGAAAAAAATAAAATGCTGTTAATTGTAAACGTTCACTTTCTACTTGTGTCTCCCAAAATGGGAATCCAATTTGGAATTATGACCTATAATAGTTTTGATATGTAAATTAAATCTCTAATAAATAAAATTTACAGGCTAGGAATATAGCTCAGTAGTATAGTAGAGCACTTGCTTAGCACACCCAAGGCCCTAGGTTTGATCCTAGCACCACAAAAAAAAAAAAAAAAAAAAAAATGTATATAACTTACTTCCTAGCAATGGTGGTCACCCGGATGCGCCTCTGCCCACTTGAATGCTGATACTGGGTCACAAACTGGATTGCACCACGTCCTCCTTGAGGAATTGGAGCATTATGCTATGTAAAAACAAATGAGTAAAAACTAAACAAAATTTACTATGTTATTATCATAGACTACATATTCTCTAGTAGTAATAAAATTCAAATAAAATTCATTCAAAAATTAAAAAGTCTCCCATCAAGCAAAAGCCAGGACCAGACAGCTTCACTGCTCAATTCTARCAAACATCTAAAGAAGAACTACTAGTATTAACCAATTCTTCTCAAAATAGTCCAAAAAACTGAAGAGGAAAGAACTCTTCCAAACTGAGACCAACATTGCCCTGATAACAAAACCAAACAAGGTTGCAACAAAAATAGATAACTACAGGTCAATGTCCATAATGAATATTGATGCAAAAATTCTAAACAAAATAACAGCAAACCAAATTCAAGAACAAAGTAAAGCCAAGCATGATGGCACACACTTACAATCCCAGCAGCTAAGGAGGCTAAGGCAG